CCAGCCTCCTTTACTAAGATGATGGTTGTTAATATCACGCCAGACTCCTTTACTCAGATGATGGTTGTTAACATCACGCCAGCCTCCTTTACTCAGATGATGGTTGTTAACATCACGCCAGCCTCCTTTACTCAGATGATGGTTGTTAACATCACGCCAGCCTCCTTTACTCAGAAGATGGTTGTTAACATCACGCCAGCCTCCTTTACTCAGAAGATGGTTGTTAACATCACGCCAGCCTCCTTTACTCAGACATCCCGTTTAACCATGACCTCCAAGGCCAGAAATCGAGCCTCTAATCACAATGCTTACGCAGATCCTACTCATCATCATCAGGTGTCTTGCCGACTGGAGTGGGCGATCTTCTCTCCATAATCCACGATCTTCTGCAGCATGTATCAGTTCGTGTACCGACACAACTCCATGCCATGCAACAAGATTATCAAGAATCTTCTCTCGTTGTCTTCCTCTATCCCTCCTTCCACAGATCTTTCCAATGGTCACAACATGTTCTATTTCCCCTCTTCTCATAACATGGCCAAAAAAATGAAGACTGTCTCTTTCTGATGCCTGTAATAAGTTGTCTTCGGGTTCCCGCCTCTTTCAAAACCTCTTGGTAGCTCTTCTTGGCTGTCCAAGGTATTCTAAGCATTATTCTGTAAAACCACATCTCTTAGGCCTCAAGAAATTGTTTGGCCTGCCTACCGATTGTCCAGGATTCACAGCCATATGTTAAAACTGGATGTATGTAGCAAGCAAGAATTCTTTTTCTTATTCTCAATGACAAGGATTTATTTAACAAGATATTCTTTATTTTATAAAATGCAGTTTTTGCCTGTCGTATTCTGTTTCTTATTTCAGTTATGCATCTTCCATCTGATCTTATCTATGTGCCCAAATTCTTAAATTGCTGTACTTGTCCTAAAATAGCACCATCGACTTTTATTACACATTTAGGAATAATTCGTTTCTTTTATACCACCATTAGACTTCTGTCTTCCCATTATTCAAAGTGAGGCCCATTCTTCCACTTTCTAACACTACAATGTCTATCATTTCCTGTAGTTGATCATACTCAGTTGTTGTTAAATTAAGAAGTACTGATCAGTAAAAAGTGTGTCCATTTTTCTTTTGCAAACGTCTGCTTGATTAAAAAAAATTTCAATTTAAAGTATGAGTACGTATATTCAATAAAAGCATAGAAAATAGCCAAAGGGACACTACTGACATTTGCATGTTAGTACTCAGAGGTTAAGTTTCCTGATAGTGAATTTGCATATAGTGATCTTTTTTTTTTCTTCTCCTTCGTCTTCTACCGTTATCTCCAAATAAAGCATATGCCCTCAACTAATTCACACCAAGTCCTTCTATTGTTTACTATAACATGCATCTCATCCAATGTGTTCCAAATCTTTTTAACTTAACTTTTAGTTTCAGTCCCTGCTTAATTGTTGGCCATCATTTTTTATGTGTTCCTGTGGGTTCCAGGATAAAGCTCTTCTGGCTCTACTGCCCTCACAATTTCTCACCGTTTCCCTTTCCAACTACAGCGTCTTTTCTTCACGTCTTGATTTAGTTATCTCCCAGATCTCCACTTTGGCGATCCTAATTCTATATAGTTTTTCCCCCTTCTTCAAGTTTTCGCTAAGTAGAAAGAATTTGGCTGCGATGGAGATGTGGTACCTAAGACGAACGTTAAGAATCATTTGGACTGCTACAGTAACTGACAAGGATTGCTTGAAAGAAGTTACTGAAAGCAGATCAATATATACAGCTATAAGGACAAGAGAAGCACTTTTTTTTTCCTTTGGTCGTGTGAGCAGGGGGAAGGCTTTGCATAATCTTGTGACGACTGGGAAGATTAACGGTAGAAGAGGGCGAGGCAGACGGAGAGAGATAATGAAAATGAATTGCACGTGGCACGGAGGAATATCATCGGTGGAACTGATCCAGAGAACAAGAAACCGACATCTCTGGAGAGGCATGAACGTCTACGGTGTGCAGGGCACGTGATGATTAAGTTTTCGCCTCACACAGCAGTGCTGCTTGAACGTTAGCATTGATAAAATATAATTATCACATTCCTTTACGTGGTATGGTTGTTAGTAGTCGTTCTGTGAAAACTATGGCGGAGGCTCAATATTCAGAAAAGACTACACTTTTTTTCTGGAGATCACGTCTCTGTGGTCAACTAAGTCTCACAGAAAATGCGCATCTGGTAATTTATGGAACTGTCTTGGAAGTGACGCTGACAATGAAGGGAACTGATCAACCAACTGGATATGTGGTGGTACAGAATGTGTGATTGCTTAACGCTGCAGGAGAAGTCATACTTCAGAGTAGCTGCAGACACAGATCACCCTTTGTACGATGTGCTGGACGCAGTTAAGGGTCAGAGACCAATGAGAAGGAATCCACGAATGGCTCAGGCAGACAACACCATAGTCATGCGGCATTTAATCCTCAGGGTAATAAACCTCCCTTCAACAACGCTCTCAAATGCGGAAAATACAGACAGTAACAAGAATGTACCTCTTGAAATTAATCTCTGCTCTGTAAAACTGGTGATAGTTTTGCCTCTAAGCACTCACATATGCTGCCGCACATTAACATTTTAAGTATTACTGTTCGCGGAAGTTCACTAACGTTTACGTGAGAACACGGGTCTTTTAAGATGATATACTTTAGGGAAATTACTAGAAGGTGGATGGGAAGGGGGAGAAAAGGGGGGAGGGCGGCACACATCATGAAAAGGAAAGGCAGAACTGAAATTTTGTTTAAAAACGGTAAGATTTATGCACGAATGTTCTAATGCTATTGAGTGTATCGCGTTATGCGTGCCATTACGCAACATTAGTCTGCCTGATAGAATATTTTAAATTAGTTAGGACAAGAAAAAGAAACTTGAATTTGTTGTGAAACCTGGCAAGATTTATGGGAGAGAGGACAAAAAATGGTAATGCTAATTGGGAAGAAAAGGAAGTGGGGTTACAACGAGAGATTTGGAGTGAGAAGAGGGGGGGGGGAAGCGGGGTACAACATTAATGATAATCTAAGAAAGACACCCATACAAAATATATAAAACTAGAAAGCCATAAAACGAAATTCCTCATATAAGATGACACAGGCTAGAAGGAATACCATAAAAGCTGAATATAATTGGTCCATCAGATAAGTAGACATGTTTACATCAAAAACATACTGCAATAATCTCCTAATTTTCTGCCCGATAGACAAGTGGACAAATGGGCATGAGGACAGAAGGTCACAGAGACAGAGAGACAGAGACAAACAGAACCAAAAATAGTGGCCAAAAAAAAAAAAAACCTTAAAGGAGTAACCAATAAACACATTGTTTCAAGAGGGCGCCGTAGCCTGGGCGCCTAGGCCCGCTGAGCCCTCATCCCAGAAAATTGTTAAATCGAAGAGGTGAGGTGTCGCTCCCACCCCCCCCCCCTTCTCTTCCCTCCTTTATGAAGAATTGTAAGGAAGCTTTGCAATAACATAGCTGTGCATAACAGTCACCTATTTATGTATTCTCTCTCTCTCTCTCTCTCTCTCTCTCTCTCTCTCTCTCTCTCTCTCTCTCTCTCTCTCTCTCTCTGTGTGTATATATATATATATATATATATATATATATATATATATATATATATATATATATATGCGTGCTCAGTCCTCCGATGCAGCAGCTACTCCAAGATACCTCTACTTACTGTTCTCATGAGGAGCTGGTTATATTATCTCCTGTCTTTACCTCTAAGACGGCATAGTCGTGCTTCGCAAAGCTTAACTTCTCGGTCACGAAGTTGTGTTAGCGTCAGAGATTCACCCAGCCTAATCCGTACGGAGTTGATTATATATATATATATATATATATATATATATATATATATATATATATATATATATATATATATATATATATATATATATATATATATATATATATATATATAAAATGGAGTCGCCGTGGTTTAGCGGCTAGACGCTGCCGATCGGAAGGTCGTGGGTTAGGGTCCTGTTAAAGCCGAACTTTTTCTTTAGAAATGACCCTGCCTACCAGATCGACCCAACCTTTAGTGGGTACCATGTGCTGTCCTTATGCTGACCACATTACCCACCAAGTGCCGACTGATCTATGGAAATATGTCGAAAAAAGGGTCCTTTACTTATATATTGGGGGAGTAGCACTCAACCCCTTTTCAAATTGTGATATAGGTGGAAAAGTGTGTGAGTGTGTGTGTGTGTGGAAGGGGGGGGGGGTCTAGAGGGGTCTAAGCTTTTTTAAGTGCAGTGCATAATAATAATAATAATAATATATCACCATCATCATCATCAGGTGCCTTGTCGACCATGGTCGGCGCTCATGCCTCTTCACAATCTGCTATCTCCTGCAGCATGCTTTAGTTTGTGCGCTGACAGACCTCCATGCCATGCAACAAGACTGTCAAGAATCTTTTCTCGTTGAATAACACATTCACACAAACACACACACACACACACATATATATATATATATATATATATATATATATATATATATATATATATATGGGCACTTTTTACATTCAGCAAATAATAATAACAATTATTATTATTATCAACTGCTCTTAAAAGGCTTAACCCCTTGAGCTCCACACACCCCCCCCCCTTTTTTCCCCCACTCCCCCCCCCCTTTCCCCCACTCCCCTCAACTCAAATCACAATTTAGAAAAGTCGTTGAGTGCCACTCAATTAACCAAAATTCACCCGTTGCTTCGTATTGAAATGCACGAATAATTTAAGTCACAGTCTTCTAACTGTCATTTTCATTTAACACGTTGTTACTTCTGCAACTAAACGTACTGTTTCTGTTGTCATTTTTCATTTTCTTTTAAATATCCAAGCTCTTCAACAGTAAAGATACATTTGCAGTTTCGCAACTTCCAGTGACGTATTTCACAAGGAGCATTATTTTTCTGGCGGCCTACACTAGAGCCAACAGTATTTCTACTCAGATGGCTCCGAAACCAAAGTTCCAAGAAGGTGTTAAAGCAGTTTAATTTAGGATCTTCGTTTATATATTGCTACTGTATGATGTTGATTTTTGTTTTGAAATATTTAAATTATAATAACATGTATAGTATTAATTGTATAATTTTTTTTAAGTGCGGAGATGAACACAGAACAGAGGCACTGACAGTAGTCAGAAATAAATTTTAAAAAAAAAGCAATCAATGTTTGAATGTTTTTCCGCAGTTTAGAGTTAGACTTGGTAACAGCAGGAATTATTTATTGAATTTGTTAATTGTTGCCATTTAGGCGCATAGTGTTAGCATAGTCTTAAAATTTGTTTATCGTGTGAGTGTGCCTGATCTGGAGACAATCATGAATCATGACTCTCTAAACTAAGTTATTTGACTTAGTGTTATATAATGTTAGTAGGGTACGCTCTGAATCTCTTCGCAACCTCTTGGAGTACTGTGACTAGTATGATTATCGCTCTCATATTTTGACACTTCTAATATTCAGTTTTTTTTCCTTTTTAGATAATATATATATTTTTTTTTAATCATTTAAATACAGCAATATGAGTGACTTTGAACTTTGTGGCTTGACTTTGCACAGAGGGCTTTCTTCCGAATAGGTTAGATTAGTTGTGTATCCTTTACAGGATGTTGCAGAACCAAGCCCAACAGCCCCTGGCTGTTGCATGGTTTTTCTGGGCAAATTTATGTCCAGTAGTTTGCCATTGCTCTCTGAACGGTCGACTTTCTTGATGCCACCGTCGAAACCAACACAAGGCTCATGGCCCGCAGCTGGGATCGAACCCGGCATTACGACGAAGCGTTCACATCGACTTAGCCACAGAGCCGACATCTTCCGAATAACGGTCCCAAATTATCGAGGCAGAAAATATACTCTAACAGGGCCTCAGTCACTTGCGCATTTCCGGCAACATTAATTGCGCACTTCCTGCGACTTCTGCCAACACCGAGAATATCCCCACGCGGCGTGGATTGGGGCTAAACTAGATGGCTGGGGACTCAACGAGCAGCAGCTACTGCATTTCCTGCAGCTGCCTTCATTTTATTTACTTGTGAGTACCAGCCATCTGGTTAAGCCCCAGTTCACGCCGCGCGTGGGGTGTGGGGGATACTCTTGGCGGTGCCATATAGTCCCCGGAAGTTCGCAGTTGACACGTGGACGAGGCCCTGTTAGGGTATTTTTTCTGCCTCGATAATTTGGGACCGTTTACGGAAGATAGCCGCGCAGAGTGCTTACCAGCTGGTCACATCTTTACAAGTATCATGTAGCAGGTCCTTTTGCAGCAGAAGATCACTCCTGTTTACAATTACTTTCCACTATAAAGCCCCCTGATCACTTCCTGATATAGTTCATCTGACTTTTGTATTTTCTTAGGGTATTTTCAGTATCCTGTATCCATCGATAGGCTGGTGATCTTTTCCTGGAAAAATACATTCTATTATAGTTTTGTTTAAATGTATGAGACATTGTTGTCCGTCCAAAGAATTTCAGTTCCCAAGCCATGATGCTGTATGTTCGTATGTAGTAAAATGTCGGCTATCCTCTGAATAACAGCCACATATTATGGCGACCAAAAACACACTATCCTGACAGGGCCTCAATCACATGTAAATTGCGGACTTCCTTCATTAAACACATTGCAGCAAAACTAGGATTACTGACTATTGACAGTTTTGAGAAACGTAACAATACACATAATAATAGCGACATGGCGGGGAGACCACGCGCTGCGGCGCAGGTTACCGATAGTATTTTCCAATTAAACTCACCGGTGAGCATTTTCCCCGCACGGCGCGGATGGCTGGGACTCACGAGCAGCAGCTACCTCATCTCCTGCAACTTCCTCCAGTTTATTTGCTTGTGAGTCACAGCCATCTAATTTAGCCCCCTATCCGCGCTACTACGCGTGGCATGGGAGATACTCTCAGCAGTGAGAACTGAGTTACCAATGCGGCACTGATCATATTTAGCAGAGTTTTAATTTCTCCACAGAGAACAGATTTTCAGGCACTATTTGAAACTTCTGTGCCACTATTTTCAGAAAAAAAAGGCTAAGTAGTCAATTTAATAATTTTCCCTTTTTTTCATTCCTCATTATTTTTGAGTTTAAGTTTTTGAAGTTTATAACACACGACCTAATGAGGCCCTGTCAGGATGTGTTTTTTGGCCACCATAATATGTGGCCGTTATTCAGAGGATAGCCAAAATGTAAATATATATATATATTTTTTATCTATGGTGTTCTAAGAGTTTTTTAATATTTTAGTTGAAGAACTGATTTTTTTTTTCAGTACATTTTCAGCTAAGTAAGAGACATGGCTTCTATTATACTGATGAACTATTCCCTGTGCTCCATTTGTTTCCGATGGCTGTCCTGGGGAAGTAGGGACGGCCGCGAAATGCTGGCCACATTACCCACCTAGTGCCAATTGGTCTGTAAAAATATGGGACGTTCTTCCCATATGCCCGATGCGTCTAAGGCGTGAAAAAGGATCTTCACTTCGCTTCACTTCACATTTGTTTGCAGAACATATTAACACTATCAGGCCAAAAGGTTTGGCAGCAGATTTGAAAGAGGCATAGTACAATAACCACAAAGAAATCATGAAAACATCTTTTTTTTCAAAAATTGCCAATGTGAAAACCTGATTTCCTTAGTTTGCTTTGACCAAATATGAAAAATAAGTGGGCACAAAATGTAAAGGTTAACAGTTAAGGAGAAAAAATGGTTTCACAGATTAAATGTATAAATATCTGCAGTATGCCTTCATAGTAATTAATCTGGCTTTATTTCAGTATTCAAAGACTAGGTTACAACATTCAAACATCATGTAATTGTGACTAGTCATTTTCTTTTAAAACTGGTTTGCTGTCTTATCTTAAATTAATTTCATTAATTTCAGTTATGTGTGTAGTTTTTTTTATGCACTATATTATTCTCTTTTTGTGACTTCGCAGGCGAAAAAGTCCTGTGCTACCATGGACCCCTTCTTTATGAAGCTAAGGTGAGTGAAATTTTTTTTGTTGCATTGCTTAATCATAACCTTTGTTTGCATGAGTAATTTAAAATACACTGTTGTTTCAAATGCACAGACAGTTGTGTCTTTGGGGTAATTTTAATATTTTTCTTTAAGCGCTGAATTCAGATTTTATGTAGAAAAGTTCACCATTAAATTCTTTATTAAAATTAAATTTCAAGCGCAGAAATTTTTTGGTGAAAATCATTGTTTGGAGTACAATCCCTCATTAAATGTGATCTCACTCTATTTGTTTACACTATAATGCGATTAAGGGGAAAAAAAGGAAAGAGAAAATTATGCTCTGCAGTAATTTTTGTAGTCACCATGTATGAATGTGGTGTGACTTAACGTGGCGCTTGCACCAGCTGGTCATATGTCACCAGTATCAATGTAAGAAAATGATGAACTAGCTAGCCCTGTTTTTGTAGTACATAGTTTTTTCATTTTCAAGGCAATTTGTTGTCTTATGACAACAGCTGAAGTAACACAAATTAGGTCAGTGTCCCCATTATGGAAAAATTAGAAACGATGCACTCCTACTTGATTAAAGATCACTTTTTGAATGTGCCATTTCTGCATACACCTTGATTATCCAGGCTAAAGCAAGAAGTTTGTTTAATAATTGAATGCTGTAGAGTTGGATCCTAAAGTGCCATATTTTGTTGCGAGTTGACTGGTTCAAACTTGTAATAGGACGATATGGTTTCTATCACCTTAAGATAACAGGTAAGGCTGCAGCAGGTGATGTTGTGTTTCTGGCATAGTCGTGAGCTGTATTTGAAATGTATTTGAGGAGCATGCTTACCTGCCGTGGCACGTGTTCAGTCTTGATAAAACAGGGTTGTTCTGGAAGCATATGCCAGGTAGAACAGTTCTCTCGTTTAAAGAAAAAAGGGCCCTGGGATTTAAAGCCTCCAAGGACCGCCTCACATTGTTATTTAGAACAAATGCATCTAGTGATTATAAAACCAAGCTCTGTCACTCTGAACATCCAAGAGCACTCAGCGGTTACTCTAAGAAGGAGCTGTCTTCCTTTGTGTCATAAGTTTTGCGTTTGTATCCACACTGGTCTGATTTTGCAACAACAAAATCGCCCTTGTCTGCCATGTTGAGCCAGTCTAAAATTGGTACCCTTAAATATATTTGAAAGTAAAGCTGACCTGCATGATATTGATCACATCACCTATTAGGAGCAGACTTGTTTTTAAAAATATGAGACTAACATCATATGCCCCATGTAGCCAGTGGCATAGAAATGGTCATTAAAAATAGTTTTATAGCTGAGATTGAGAATAAAAAAATTCAAAATGTGAATTGTACATGTCATTTTAGGGTAATTATTTTAATCTTTGGTAGTTTGTTATTGATAGATTGTAGATTGTTACACGCACATTGTTTTGTAGATTATAATTAAATATGAGTTTTGCCATTCTTTCCCTAGTGTATGAAGATTGAAGTCAAAGATGGCAAAGTTCAATATCTTATCCATTATAATGGATGGAATAAAAAGTAAGTGTTTGACAAACATGATAGCAATGTAAAGATAATCTTACACCAGCCACATATTCTGGTAAAATGCTGAGGGTTGCATGCATACTTTTCAAGTTCAGCATTTCTGTCCATAACAGTGAATGTTGGAAACTTTCCGTTTTTTCCATACAATACTGCTATATTGTACTGTGGCTACTGTAGGCATTTGATTCACAGTCCATGGTGTGACTATCCTACCTGCATTAAGAAAAGTCTCCCACAGTTAGAGCATGGGATCTCAGAACTATTATTGCCATAACATGTATTTACCATTCTTTTTCTCAGAAGCTCAGCTTTTAACTTATCTGTTTTCTTCATTATCCCTATTCCCATTCTTATTTTTTTATTTATCTTCTTTCTTCTCTTCTTTTATCCTACTGCTTAAGCTGTATAACCAGATCGTGACCGGTACCATCAGTATTGTAACTCTGCGCTAGCTGCTGAAGATGAGGACGGTGCATGCATGGGAATGCCCCGAATGCTGTGATGTCAATTCTTAGCTCAACGTCAATTCTTGCTGTAAAGCAAGTTATATGTAGTTTCTTGACTTTTGCCTAGCTTATGTTAAGGTCATAGTGCATTTTTAAAGTGTCTGTTTTACTTCCTCCACCCAGCTCTTGTCGCCTGTTGTTCTGTTACATCATGTAGATATAGTACTTTTCTACCAGATGACTAAACTTTATTTTTTGGGATGTTCTATGAAATTGTTATGTGCCTACCAGTTTGCCTTTCTTCGTAGGTGACCCTATTTTTCCTGCCATAAATTTATCTTCCTTATGTAACTGGTTGGTACCTTTCCATGCCAACAATTATTTATTCCATGATCTTGGTAACGTGAGATGCCTGAGAAAAGCCGCAAACCTAACGATCTAAGACAACGTTAGAAAGGATATTATGAAAAGCCGCAAACCTGTCTGTTTTTACTTCCTCCACCCAGCTCTTGTCGCCTGCTGTTCTCATGTAGTACATGCTGCTGACTGATATAGTCCTTTTCTTACCAGATGACTAAACCATTTATTTTTTGGGATGTTCTATGAAATTGTTACCGGCACTGTGCCTACCAGTTTGCTTAGTTCTTCGTAGGTGACTGCCTATTTTTCCTGCCACTAAATTTATCTTCCTTATGTAATTGCTGGTTGGTACCTTTCCATGCCAACGATGTTTATTCCATGATCTTGGTAACGACAGGTGAAATGAGATGCCTGAGAAAAGCCGCAAACCTAACAATCTAAGACAATGTTAGAAAGGATATTATGAAAAGCCGCAAACCTAACGATCTAAGACAACGTTAGAAAGGATATTATCAGATTGAAAGAACAACACTATGTAGCAAATTCATTAAAAAACAGAAGATCAGATGGTTTGGTCATTTAGTAAGAATGCAGCCAGAATAGTTAACCAAGGAGGCGCTACACATGAAAAGATCTGAAGTCAAAGCAGAAGGCCGCCCTAGGACGGAGATGGATTTGTGATATTAAAGAGCTTCTACATCGACACGAAATGACAATAGCCTCTTTACATTTCCCAGTCTACACACCTTCTCAGTCTGATCTGGGTCAGAGGGTGTCACATTATATTGCTTTCTTCGAAAAGAGTCTCTTGTGTGACCTAGGTTGGGTTAGGGCCAGTTCTACATGTTCTGGGATATTCATAAGCTGTGTCATTGTGTAGTATAGAACACGCAAAATCTGCGCTGATGTAATTGGAGACAAGACAGCGTGGCATCTCTCCGATGTAGAAAAGTCTGAGAAAGTATGAATGAAAGGTCAGGGAGTAGTGTAGATGGGCCAGAAAACATGAACAGGACCACCATTGCTGCCCATCAATCAGTGGATCGCAAACTGTTCCTCTCCACAGTGCTTAGCAGCAGAAGTGGAAATTGATGATGATGCTGATGACCTTTGAATCTTTCTTGACAATAGTATTAAATTGTCCTATAGATAAAGAAGAATGGGAATTGCAACTTATAGTGATGATGAGTGTGACTTACAAGATCAGTCTCCTTTCCATTGCGCAAAGCCGGGGCAGTACTTTAGAGACTGTGTTTTGCCCCTGCAGCGTGAAGTTTCTCTTTGTCTTGTTTACTCCATATAAAAGGTAACACCAAGGTTACAAGCAGAAATTGCCAGATCAGAAGAGCTGTTTTCTCTCCACCTGTTGGAGCTTCCCTTCTAGATCACCTGTCAACCAAGGTCAGCCTTGCCATAACATTAAGGTTTCAGGTAACACTAATATACTCTAGGGCAGTGATTCCCAAACGTGCCCTGTGGAGCTGCGACCTCTTCACAGGGGCGCCACAAAATATTTGCAAGACACATAAGCTTTAAAATTATTTTTTTTTAAATCCTTTTTATACAAATAGTCATACTTTTACTTAGGTTAGGGCGCCGTGGACAAATTATAATTGACAAAGGGGGCGCCACGACTAAGACAAGTTTGGGAAACACTGCTATTGGGTAAAAATAGCTTGAACCAAATGTCATATTCTCTCATATTGTTTCCCTCAATAGCTGGGATGAATGGGTACAAGAAAGTAGAGTTGTCAAAAATAACGAGGCTGGCATTCAGAAACAGAAAGAGCTTTTAAAGAATCATGGGTAGGTGGCAGTTACAATTGTTTCACTTTTTAGAGAATTGTATATTTATTTGTGTTGTGTACATTAGAATTTATCTGGCTGTAGAGTGTTCAGATGGAATTGCCAATTGGCTTTTAAACATTTACAATGAGACAATTTTATTTCATTTGTAAATTTTTTTGTTTTTTTGATTAACAGAAATTGTTCCATACAACACTTTACTTTTTAGAAAATATCCAATTGTAGTAAGAAAAATCAAGTTGGATGAAGTCAAGATAAGGAGCTACGGACTGATAGAACACTGGCAGCCCTATCACTCTGAAAATGCTGGAAAAAAATGGCCATGAACTAAAAATTGTTTAATAATTTATTTATATGTTTAAAAAATTTGAGGTAAATATTGAAGGAGAGTAATCAATAAACACAGGGAGAAGCATTAACTGGATTATATTTTCCTGTGTATTTGATAACTTGTACCATGACCTGGTTGAAATTTTCACACTTAAAGCTGGCGGGAGAATTACAGTGTCATGGTGGCCTAAAAATATTCATTTATTCTAAGGAGAATCCCCTTAATGCAATTTTTAGTTCATATGCATATCATGACCTAACTGCAGTGTAGGTACAAGCACAACTAATGGCGTTTAACTTTTCAGGAACAGACCAGTTGACAAAAAAAATCATGTAAGCTGCATTTGCGGAATTGAGCCATTGCTGAATTTTCACGACAATTTGGGGTGAAAAAGGTTTCATGGTTTTAGGTTGAAATCTGGAAAGCAACCAGGTAATTTCATGGAAAAAAAAAACAAGTTAGGACTGACAGTTTATAAGCCTTCACATTTTTGGGAATACTGGCACCTTAAATTCCATAAAAAAAATATGTCATACCCATCTTTTTATGTTCATTTAACTGTATTGCTGCTTGTGGCCATGGCGAATATTCTGCAGATGAGGCTCCATCTGTAATGCTAAAGTCTAAAAGAGATGGACTGTTCATACAGGAAGTGTTACTGTTTGGTTCAGGGACTGCTTTATGATTATGTATTTGATAAAACTCAGTCTTGTGTAGGTTTTATTGGAATGGTTGTATCATGGAAAGATATACTAAACGAAAAGTTGAACAGGTTCAAATTTTTGCAGAAAACAAGTTAACGCTGTGCGAGAAAACCTTAATGAGTACATTACATGAGTAGACAGTCTTACCCTTATAAACAAGAATACACAAAATCATTTAACCGCTTCTAGAAATGTTTGGGTGAAGCATTGAAGTACATGTTTTCCTACAGCGAGATGCTGTCGTTAGCAGAGTTCGACTGGTTTGTTTTCTTATGCAGTCGCTTTGCATAAGGTAATGCCGTAATACCGATACAAAAGGCAAGAGGAACTTTCACTAGGGAATTTGTGGAGGTCAAAAGAATTTAAAGGTAATACTCGCAATAATCCAAAAGTCTTTAATTCTAATGCCAAATTAATACTGTTCTGTGGAGCGGGAACATGGAGAACAACCAATGCAGTTACTAGTAAACTACAAATATTACTTAACTTATGCCTGCGCAGAATAAAGGGAATTAAATGGTATGATAGAATCACTAATGTGGAGCTTCTCTGTTTCTGTTACTGTTGGGGGGGGGGAGCTGTTACCTGTGAGTCTTGACGCTGCTGAGTTAACCCTAGACCAAGAGGAACTTTCACTAGGGAATTTGTGGAGGTCAAAAGAATTTAAAGGTAATACTCGCAATAAACCAAAAGTCTTTAATTCTAATGTCAAATTAATACTGTTGTGTGGTGCGGGAACATGGAGAACAACCAATGCAGTTACTAGTATACTACAAATATTACTTAACTAATGCCTGCGCAGAATAAAGGGAATTAAATGGTATGATAGAATCACTAATGTGGAGCTTTTCGACAGAACTAAACAGGTTCCAAAAAGAGATGAAGAAAAGATAGGCATTGGATAGGATAGGAGACAAGTTGAGAAAACCTGAGAACAATATAACTAAATAACATTTGAGTCTGGGTTATTGCCCTGGGAGCACGGGTCAGTTTTGAAATCCGTCATGGTGCGGATTTGACAGGTGATTAGTAACTCTTTTCAGTCTCAGATATGTTTCTTTAAGTTCATTTTTCCGAAGCAGTTGGTGCTTAAAGTAGTAATCGTTTGGATCTGAAGGTGTTCAGATAATAATACAATGGGATAAAAAGAACTGAATTAATAGTTGAGATAAAATGGGTTTAAGCTACAACTGGATTGGGTATAAGGTGTTCAGCTGAGTGTATCATTCCAGACATCATTGATGAATGCATGATTTGCTATTGTGAGCAGTGTATGGATATCTAAAGTGCCTGGCCCCTGGAGTTCAATTTGAACAATTAGGGGATAATATGTAAATTGGATTTCACAACCCATTTGCCAGGATCACAGGCTCAAGGACCTGTATAGCCGTGCAATAGGAGAAAACCATGAGGAGTTCATAAAGGAATGTGAATCACAGTCTTCCTGCTAGGCATGAGAGAACTCACTTGGAGATGGTGAACTGTGTATTCACATTACAGGTAGTTCGCTCCACAAAGTCAGAGGAGCAGTTGATTCCACGACGTCAGTGAAGGACTTACCGTCAAGAGTCCCTGAGAACTGATGCTGTTCTTAAGTGCGCCACTGTATGGCATTATCAGGGATCTCTGTTGATGTGTGTGAGTAGAGGTTCTAGTCTGGGTGTTGCCAGGTTAGACTTGTGCACCTGTGTGTTACGCTGGGTGATAGGATCAAGTGTTCATGTTGTCTGCGCTAGTTGCCGCAGTAATAAGGTTCCTGTGTGATGGGTTGGTGATGTGAGATTTGGGATATCTCAAAATAAAATTGCAGGCCACAGACGAGAGGTCTGAATGGATTTTCACAAGATATTCTGCATCGGCCTGCTTGATTTCTAGTGACAGCATTTCCAGGATATAGGATTCGTCAGACAGTCACAAAAGATGTATTTGCGCGTCGAATACTGATACCCCTGGCAACCACCGAAACATAGTTGTGGCAGGAGTTCTTTAGAGAAGCATCTTGAAAGTTTACATGGGCAGATAGAAGAATGACTGTAGTATTGTGTTAATCATATCTGGTGATGCAAATCAATATCATGATGTTGGTGTCTGAATACAGTGTATAGTCTTTGTCAGTAAAGCTGTGTTCAGAATCATCTGTTACTGTTCGGCGGGAGCTGTTACCTGTGAGTCTTGACACTGCTGAGTTAACCCTAGACCATTTGGCAAGTGTGCATGTTGGACAGGCCCTGTACAGCGTGTGTAGGGAAACTGGACATTGCACGCATCTATTGCTTGGTACTCAAAGAGTTAAGCTAGAAATGTTCTAGTCACTGCTACAACTACTTGTGTCACAAAGTGTGTTTTTGTTTCATTTACATTTATATTAACAATCTGGTTGTAAATAATTATAATTCATTCTGACATAAGATTATTTATAATATAGTTAAATCAACGTCTTTAGGATCTGATTACATCTGTGCTTATTTTATTTATATTTACAGTGCATTATCCAAAAAGACAAAAACAGCAAGAAAGCTGGAGAAGGAGTTGCTGAAGCAGCAGAAGACTCCTAAAGATAAGGTTGCTGCTGTGAAAGAGAAGGAACCACCTGTAAAAGAAACTAAAGAGAAGGAGAAAACAGTTAGCAAAGATAAACCACCAGTGAAGGAGAAAGAGAAAAAGGAAAAAGAGGTTCGGCAGAGACCAGCAACTCCACAGCCTTCTGTATCAGAGAAAAAGAAAGAGAAGGAATCTGAAAAAGACCAGAAAGACAAGGAAAAGAAGGAAGAGAAAGAAAAACCTGTTGGTAAAGAATTTTGAAAATATTATAAAAACTAAATCATCATCATCATTTGTGTGCCGCTAGACATCACATAGGACTCGCATTCGATTCCTCCACTAGCTGTGTTGCATGCAGTTCTCTTTATTTCTGACATGGAGTTCAGCACAGTATTTTAAGCCTGTTGTAATAAGGTTCTTCTTAATGTTTCCTTTGCACGTCCTCTTTTTTCTTAGACCATTTGTTTCCCATTTTAATGCTTGTTTTGTAATTGTTTGCTCATTTTATCTCAGAGTGGGCCCAGTATGTCTCTACCTTCTTTGTCTTTTTGCAGTTGATACAGGTATTTGTCCAGACATTTCTGTGACCTCTTCCTTTTTTTTTAAAATTCATCCTATTTTATGTTCATGGTTTTTCACAGGCATTTATTTTCAAAGGCATTTAACTTATCTTTCATATCTTTGGTAGTTCTCCAACTTTCGCTGGTATATGTTAGAGTTGAAGATTCAGAGTTTGGTCTTAAAACTGTATAACCTGGAGCTCTATATTTTGTTAAGACTTTTCAAGACTGTTGTTTTGCCAGTGTACATAATTTCCTTCATTGTATCTCTTTGAGAGTCAAAATTGCTACGCAAATAGGGGAAATGGTCAGTTACCTTTATTGATTTGTTCTGTAGAATTAATCTACATAATCTGTTGGTGGTAACTTTAATCTTTTTATTTTTTATTTTTTGTATTACTTATTTGTAGTCCCTTTTTTGATGCTGTAGACTACGAATCATCTGTTTTTCTTTGCATGTCTTTGTTATTTTTAATTAACAGAACAATATCATCTGCAAAATCCTGATCTTCCTGTTATCACTACTTAATCATTGCCTTTACAACATTTTTCATTACCGAATCATTACTCTGAACAACAAGGGAGATAAAAATCCAGCCTTGTTTTACTGCACTTTCCACCAAAAACCAGTCACTTTAACCATTTTCAGTGCGCACTGCACGTTCAGAACCACTGTATGAATTTCTAATAATGTGTATTATTTTATTGTGTATACCGCAACATTCCAAAATTCCCAAGAGTGAAATTCTATGTAATCTGTCAAATGCCTTCTCTTGGAATCAGTAAAATTCAGGATGAGAGGCTGTTGCTTCTGAATGTATTCTTCTAGAAGTCTGAGGGTCTTGAATACACCCTAGACAAGTCAAATGAGTGAGGCAGATGAATGAAATTGACTCACTGTGACAGTAAGTGTGCTGTAGAAGGCAGGCTTCTTCCATAGTAGTAGTAGTAGTAGTAGTAGTAATAATAATAAACCCTAGTTTTAAAATAAAAGCTTACAGTAAGATTCATAATTGAAATAATTTTATTTATCTTGTAACCACAGTATACTTACTAAGCATAAGCAGTGGTTCTTGTTCAGTTTAAACATTTAGTCACATCATGGAATATTAAATATGTCTTAAAGTTGTTCAGTGCTTGTGTGAATGGGTAATACAATTGTTTCATTTGTATAGTTGTAGGTCAGAGCTCTCCATCGACCCCCATCATTCCAGAAACAAACAGCACACCTCAGGCGACTGCTGCATTGGGTGAATCCAAGCGGAAAAGACCCAGATTGGATCCATCCATTGAATCAGTGAGAATATTGAATATGCATTTTCATTCTGTACTTGTATATCTGGTTTTTGTTACATAACCTAACCCTTGACCTATTAGGGTCATGGAGGTGTATTGATGGAAGCACTAGCATATAAACCTGCCATCTTTCTCTGTCTTCTGCTTAATTAATAAGTGTAGGATAACGTAGTCCTGTCCATTTCTTGATGTTGTCTTTCTAGGTTCTTCTTTGCCCTCCTCTTCTTTGACACCTCCAGTTCCTTAAAGTACAATCTATCCAGTCGAATAATGTCTCACCGTATGCCCAAACCAAGCTAGCTTGCAACGTTTCGCCACTGCCAAGAGAGGCTCCTGATGTCCAGCAAATTTGTATATTTTGTCTCTGACATATTTATTAGTTTTGTGTTCTAAATAACTAATTCGTAAACTGTGTCTGTAGCATTTACATTCGAAATGCTACAGACACATTTTATGAATTAGTTTTTTAGAACAGAGTGATCTTATTTGGACATTTTGAATGCTGGCCTCCTATATTCTGGTAAACATTTATTTGGTTAAATTTTGTGATAATTTTGTTTTTCTAGCAGTGGACAAGAATATTTGCTTTTATCTTCTTGTTCACGTCCTCTTTTACTGCTTCAGGTGTTGAAGAAGATACAAGGTACTATTTATTGCTCTCCTGGCCACCTTGACCATAGACACATTGAGCTATTGTATAGTTTCTTTGATGTTATCTTTCCATTTTATTCTTGGTCAGCTTCATGCTGCGCATCCTTTTCCACTTTTAGTGTAAGCCTTGTATGGTATGGCATCATAAGTAAGGCATTCTCTCTAAGTGGGCAAACCATTGAATTTGCTGACTTGAGAATTGTTTCTCTGCTGCCTTTTTTCTTCTTTATGACCTCATATATGATTTGATGTTTTCTGTTCATTCCGGCAGCCCTTCTTAGACATTTCATTTTCATGACTGCTAATTTTCTTTTATCCTCTGTTGTGCGTGACCATGTCTGGCACTGGTAGCATTGTTTGTTTGTGCTGATTGGGATTATCTTATGCTATAAGAGGGTGAGGGGACTTACTGTCCAACTACTTTTTTATTTTTTTTCAAAATTATTTTTTCTGTACCTTCATTAAATTGAATTCACGTTACGGTGGATTATTTTCAAAACTGACCTTGGCTCCCACTTAACCCAGCCTTGAATGGTTATCAGGTAATATCCTGGAAAGTAAAGTAAAACGATCAGATGGTTATAGTGTAAATTCAGACACTCAGAGGAAAGGCAAGACGGACCTATAGTTAGGCTGCTACTTGCACCATTGCACCATTGGCATTGGAACTCTGCACTGGCTGTTAAAGATAGGGACAGAGCGCCTATGGGAATGCCCCGAATGCTGTGATGTTGCTTCTTGAATCAACTGAACTCTTATTTGTTTCTACAACACTTAATTAACCAGTGGAGCATGTGCCCTCAGCCAGCTGGCACTAAACTATCCTGTCTTTTGCAAGCACCTTTCATTAATCCTTCCCATTTACATCTATCTTTAATTCCTTGTTTCATATTTACCCTTGGAAATAGGAAAAAGGCCCTGGGGTGGGGGGCTCTCATTTAAGTCATTTAATAGCTAAGTGAATATTTGCACAAGAACATTTTGAGGTGGATTCAGGGTTGATGAGTTTTTAAGTCATGAAAATCAGTATTTATGCAATCATGTATACTATAACTTCTTTGTGATGGTTATCTTTGGTGATGTGAAGATGTTGATCATGCGCATGGGGAAAAGGTTAAGGCTGCTCTGTTATATATAATTTGCACAGCCTAACTGTTTGTTGGCTTCATAAAACCCCATGCATAACTTACAACAAACATACATGTTATAATGTATAGGTAAATAGCCATATTAGGCTTGAACCAAATTAGGATGACTTGGTGTTAGTTAGTTGAAGGTCTGTGCTCCAGTAGAGGGTCAAGGGGAGAAGAAGATGAAAAGTTAGAACATTGCAAGAATGAATTGACAACTCAGTGAACAATGCACAAATTATTAACTGTTATCTTCGGTCTCACAAACATCAGAAAGAAACAGTAATCATATTTTGTGGTCATGTAATGACCACTGGAAAGATCTCTGTAAAAGAAGACAGAGGATAACAACACGAGAAGATTCTTGACAGCCTTTTGTAAATGGCATAGCGGTGGTGTCAACCGATGAACTGATACATGTTGTTGAAGATTGCAAACTGGAGAGGCATGATCACCCTTCACCAGCTGGCAAGACACTTGATGATAATGATCTTTAATCTAACATTCTGCTATATTTAATAAGAAAAAATGATTTTCAGATGTATAAAACACACACATTTATATAATATTACAAGAGAGGTTGACAAAAGTAAAGTAGAAACAGTCTTTAAAAAAACATAGAAGGCTAACCCAGTCAACAAATTCCTGCAGAAGTTGGATTTGTTGACCGAAAGACGCAAATATCGCAGTCATGCTGTAAATGGGCACAACACAGTTACATCTTCAAATGAACACAGAAGAAAAAGAAGAATTTTTTATAACTTTTTTCAAGAGCATGCAATGTAATATTGCTATCCAGAAAGATAACCACATTAGAAATGAGTTTTGTCAGCAGTATTGTGTGCTTTCATTGCTGTATGGCACAGAAACCTAGACAATGAGCAAGCAGTTAGAAAGTTAAATTGAGGTGCTGATAACGTGGATTTACCAAAACTATGTATTCCAAAGAAACAGAAACTTGTGGAGGGCTAACCCCGGCCACAAATGCCGCCAGAAGTTGTTTTGGCTTAAAGATGCAGCTATCGCATTCATCTTGTGATCAGGCACACCAAACACATTTACATCTTCATATAAACAAAGAAAAAGCAGGCAATTACAATTTATAGAAATACTAGAAATTAACAGAGAAAATGATGCAAGCAGTACACAAAAAAAAAAGAGCTAGGGGGATCGAATGTTTAGACCTTATTAAATTAAACTATCTGATACTGGGGAAAAAATCTTGCAGAATTTAATGTGATTGAGACAACAGACACAACAATTATTCACAGTATCTGAACAGTAAACATTGACACTTGCTTCATGCTGTACAATTTCCACTTTTGTTACATCTAGGAAGAAACATATTTGTCAAAAATAGAAGTAAAAATCAAGATTCCAGAAGATTTGAAACCTGTTCTTGTGGATGATTGGGATCTCATTACACGTCAAAAAATGGTATGTATACTTTCTGTTTACTTATTTTGCTGAAGATTTTTCGTTGATGTTTCCTATTTCTTCAGTTTATGCCTGTTGTCAAGACAATTATATTTTTAGTTCCTTCTTGAGCATAATATATGTCTCAGAACAGCTGAACTATTGTTTAATCTTGGTATTAGCACTTTCAAAATTTGTGGAAGTAAAAAAAAATAAAAAACAGATTAAATCTAGAGCTTCCCCGTGTAGGTTCTAGGGTCTCATTGCCGAGAAAACAAGGATAGACCCACTGCCTCCCCAAAAATATGATGTAGGAGTCAACTAATTGTGGACTTCCTTCGAAGTCGGGGCATCTGCCGAGTCTGTCCTAGCTGCACACAAATAAGCCAGTAAAACTAATGTGCATGCAAAACTCAGGCCCTGGCACAAAATCAAAGTCCAAATGGAAGAACAGCTTACACTCTGTGCACAAAGAAGATGAAGAAATCTAGAACTAAACCAAAAACGTTTAACTCAAATCAAACAATAGACAGCACAATATAGAGCAAGATCAGTGGAAACTATGGTTCATTTAGCTCATACTACAGGCTTGACCTCAGTCTTGAAACAGTTTTCTGTTGTTTTTGTTCTGTGCTAGCATACATGTCATGTTATTTCACTACAGATAACTGTGTATTTTCATGTTATTATTGTACCAGTTACTTCAAGTTACTATTTTACCAGTTACTATATAGGTAATAATTTCATAAATCATTGAACACATTTGAAATGTAATACTATTTTTTACACACATTTGTTTTATATTGTTTGTATTCTGTTTTTCTTGTAACAGCTGGTCACTTTGCCATGCAAGCAAACTGTGGATAACATCATTGAGGAATACATCAAATCCAAGTCAACAAAAAACTCCAATATTAATAAGTATGGGAATTTTGTAATTTGAATATCTTTTTATAAAAGTTACACATGAATAAAGACATGAAAGTTGAACGCGTTTGAAAAAATGTCCAAGGAAATTTATAAACATTCAGTGGGATGAATCGAGAAAGGTGAAGAAATAAGAGATACATGTGGACAGCTTATTCTAAGTGTGGGTTTCTGAAGCCCCTATTGTGGGGGAAACAATATACTGCCACCCCAACAAGCATGTCATAGGAGTCGACAAATTGGGGGCTTCCTTCAAAGTTGTAGTGCATCTGCCAGAATGGCAAGGAACAACCAGCTGCACACAAATAAGCCAGTAAAATGGCTGTACATGCAAAACTGAGGCCCTGGTACAAAGCCATATTCCAGATGGACTTGGCCAGAGTTTACAGCCTGTGAACAGAGTGCCTGCGCAGAGTAGAGAGAATTAAATGGTATGATAGAATCACTAATGTAGAGCTTTGGGAGAGAATGAAGCAAGCTCCATTGGACCAAGAGGGGAAGAAAAGTTGCTGGCGTTGGATAGGACACACATTAAGGAAACCGGAGAACAATATAACTACAATGTCTTTGCATTGGAACCCACAGGGGATAGAAATAAAGGAAGGCCAAAAAATACATATAGAAGAGCTGGAGAATGCAGTTAGAAAGATGGGGACAGCTGCATGTGGTTGGGGGCCTATGCTCTGTTGGAGGCTACAAAGGCAGAAAAAGAACAAAGAAGAACAGCTTCTGGTACAACGGTTAAAAGACTAATAAAATAGGGATGTATTAGACACATCCTAAGGAGAAGTGAACAGAGAATCACCAAAACAGGAACAGAAAGGGAAAACTGGTGTTCAAAAGAAATGCTAAAACAAATATTGATGAGAGAGGCCAAAGGTGCTTGACTGGATTTCATCCATGATGTTGAAACAGCTGCAAAGAATAGAACAGAGTGAAAGAATAGCAAACTTGTGTGATGTATAAATAGCATGGCGTGATGATGATAAAGGCTATACATAAATCACTACTCTTTTAAATAATTAATGATGATAATAAATTTATTTTTCTTAAGAACATTTACAGACTATTGGTAATAATAGTTCCATAGCAGGAGGTGAGAAGTGTTGAGCCTTCAATGTTTGTTTTTTCCCATACTGAATGAGGTTTTCCTTTATTATTGCTTTTCTTAGAATATTCTGAAACCTTGTGCCAATTATGACAAGGCTAGGTCATAGGGTCATGAAACATTTTCTATGGGTCACTGGGCCGTTGTGGTTTATGAAATTTTTTTTAAGGACAAGAAAACATTTGAGTCCGCCACAGAGAACAATCTAAAAGTATTTTTGTTGTTTTCAAATACCATATTTAAAGGTCAAAATGTAATGTATTCGGTCACCATTTACTTTACCTCTGTAGAATGGGGTTTCGGCTAAAAAAAACTGCTTGGCTGGGTTGATCTCAAAGTCGTAGTGGGGGTTGAACATAGATCATTGTCTGATAGAAAAGTACACCAACCTCTCTCCTATTAAAGGTCAGAGGGAGTTAATCAGATCGGCGGCGTTGTAATTTTAATCACAGGTGTGAGGAGAAGTTAAGGCTGTTGTGTGATGGTTAAATGGGATACCCTGCACCGCACCTAGGGCTCCTAAATTCTGTGATCTGACATGTGTGTGCCTGTTTTATACAGGTAGTTTGATTTTTTGGCTAGTAAATATAACACTTTAAAGGAAAATACATATCAGTTTTGCCGGGGGAGTTGATCCAACCCTATAAATTTTGTACCATACAATTGGCAAAATTTTCTAGGAATTTTCTGGGAATGGAAGATAGTGAGAAATGGTACTGGCCACCCCACGTCATGCCTTTAGAATATGTTAAAGCTTTGTATTTACACAGCACACATAGATACAGAAAGAAAGAAAGATATTCTTGCCCCAAAAGCGCCTTACCATGTTACAGGGCTGATCTGCCTTGAAATTTGAAACAAATTAACAATTTTTATTATCAGAGGGTCACATATTGGACAGTAAGGTCTGTCTTAATTTAACCCTTCTGAGCTCTCATTTCTCACATATCATTTATAGTCCATTAATAATGCAGAATACGTACAAGTCTTTCTGAGTTGCAGAGACAGATTATCTGATTAATTTTTTCAAAATAATTATCTTTTAGGTAAAACCATACTTTGTTAAAGATGATGCATCACTTCATGTTTTTATTCTATATTCTAGAGATGCTATGTTGGAAACAATGCTGGGATGCAAAGATTACTTTAATGTTATGCTAGGTACACAGTTACTGTACAAATTTGAGAGGCCTCAGTATTCAGAGGTAAGCATGAAACAGTTTGTCTAAGTTAGTAAATAGATTGAACCATTCAGATGTCACACAGTAATTATAAGACATTTTACAAGACCGCTTTAGAACAGGACACAGTTGACTTTGCAGCCACATGTACACACAATTTAAAATTGGCGAATCAGCCATGTGTACATGTGGACTGGTACCTGAGACAACAGATCATGTCTTCCAAGACTGTCCCAAATACAACATATCAAGGCAAAACTTTTGGCCAAGAGAAACATTGGTGTAAGTCAAACTTTACGGGTCGCTGAGTGAATTACAAAAGACAGTAAAGTTCATACCAGAGACAACACTACAGATATAAATAATCTATTTCAAGTGAACAAAAGAAGAAGAAGAAATTTTATAAGGTCTGAATGTTAAAATAAAACTTTTCATAAACAGCATCGCCTCTGGAGACATGAAAAAAGCAGTAAATGAAGGCTAAAGGTTGACCATAATTAGAGGCTTAACAGTGAGTGAGGCATTGAAACTGTTTAAAGATTCAGTATATTTAGTCTTTTATTTTCTACCAGATGATTCTATATATCCAGTGTGTCTAAATAATATATGTGATGCATAAATCTAATGTGTTTTGGACAGATTTTGTCCGAGTATCCTGACAAGCCCATGTCCAGTGTATATGGAGCTATTCATTTCCTCAGATTATTTGGTAAGGATTTTTACTATTTAATGTCATTGGACGCATTCAGAGATGTTACTTTAAGTGCTTCTTTTCACTTTTTCTATAGCATCTGCAAAATTAAAAAAGACCTGTTTGTAATTTATTTAGTTTTACTGACATAGGCTAGACAGTAATTTATAGTTTTTAGTTTTGTTTGTATAGGCCATACAATATGTTCTTGATATAAACTATGTCTGTTTTAGTTTTCAATATTGTTAATATACGAGGGGAAGTCATTAAGTAAAGGCAGTTTTATCCTAGTCTGCATGGAAGAGTTCGCTGAAGAAAAAAATATTATTTCAGGACACAGAATGGCTCCTTTGCCACACCCAAAGTATATGTCGTGGTGATTTAGCATTATGCGCTTGTGCCACAGCTAGTACAAGATGGCCACACATGCACCATAGAAGAGCCACAAGGTATGTTTTTTAATGGGCAGAGGATTATCTGAAATCTATCAAATGTAAGGTTTGGTTGGCGTGAAAACCAACATCTGAGTCAATGCAGATTTGAATCAAATACCTTTGGACTAGTAAGCAAGCATGTTAGTCACTGCGTTACTACATACATTTCTGTATGGTTGTATTTGTCTTTAGATTATTAGTTCCACTAACATATAATAGGATAATTGTTACAGTTCGGCTTGGTGCTATGTTGGCATATACTTCCTTGGATGAACGAACAGTACATATCCTTCTCAACCACGTCCATGATTTTCTCAGGTATGTGTAAAAAATTGGTTAAAATACTGTCCTCTCATGTAAGACATATATACAAGGTCCGACAATGAAGTAATGAGACTGATTTTATTATGGCCAAGACGAAAATGCCATCTATGAAGCAAAGCATAGAGTCTAAAGAGGCAACATTCATCTATGATCTGGCAACTTTTCATCTCCGCTCCTTTTTCTTCTTCAGCGATCTCTGGTCATGCGCATAATCCACTGTGGGTCATAAGCTGGGATGTCTTTTCAAGGTCTCTTAGGTTTCCCCAAAGCTTAGTTGTCAGTTCTACTGGGTGTTGCCATATGTCGCTCCGCAGCTCCGCCAGGAGAGGACAGTCTTGCAGGACATGTTCTGGAGTCTGTTCAGCAGGAAGGCACTGGCAGAAAGCTGTTTGGCTCATACCTAATTTATGTGAGCTGCAGTGTCCAGTGCGTAAGCGAAAAACTGTGACTTGGTCTGTTCTGTTCAAGTGTTTCAGAAAATCTTTTCCGTAGTTATAACCAGTGTTGGTTTTCCAATCTGTTTCTGATTTTCTCTTAATGAGAGTTTTGACTTCTAGAAAAGATAGTGGCTGGTAGGTCTGTGGTTTGTTACTGCCTTCCTTGGCTAAAGCATCTGCGCTTTCATTGCCTATCTCCGCTCGATAAGCAGACAACAAACAAGCCGATATTTTGTTGACCTAGTCAGAGTTGCATTGTTACGAAATCAGCATGGAGCAAAAAAAACTAACATTAAATTCTTTTAAAAACTCAGAAAAAACACCAATGAAACAGTTGAATTGATGCAACAAGTTTATGGGGATACTGGTTTATCTTGTGCACACATTTTCTGATGGTATTCACGATTCAAAAGTGGTGCGGAAATGATAACTAATGCACCTAGACCTGGACGCCAAATTTCTGTTCGTAATGATCAACTCGTTGCAAAAGTCAGAGAACTGATACAAGAAGTTCATTGTTTTACTGTGAGGATAATGCCAGATGAATCTGGTGTTAATAGAGAGACCATTCATAACATTTTAGTGCAAGATTTTGTCAAGAAAAAAGTTGCTTGCCGGTTTGTACCACATTCGTTGTCTGATGACTAAAAACATCAGCGGGTTGAGTACCAAAGAGACATCATCAAAATAAGAATTTTTGACCCAAAAGCAAGTGTGTGTTCTCAGCCTTCCACCCTATTCCCTAGACTTGTCTCCCTGTGATTATTTTCTATTCCCAAAATTAAAGTTACAATTGAAAGGACGCTTTTTTAACATTATTGATGACATCCAAAGGGCCGTAACATCGACTTTAAGGGCCGTAACAACAGAAGAACTACAGAGGTCTTTCCAGTATTTGTTAGATTGTGCCACTTGCTGTATCAATGCACAAGGGGCTTACTTTGAATCAGATACAGATTATATTTTCAACTGTAAATTATTTTAATTTTTATGGAATTAGTCTCATTACTTTATTGTCGGACCTTGTATCTTCGACCACAAACAAAATTGTTACTTTATTTTAAAATAAATGTCAGTAAAGAAATAAAAAAAAAAAAATTACAACCGCATATATTTTCATTCAGTGATTCATTATCCTGTTTGGCCATTATATATCACAAGGGGCTTACAGTATATTTCTCCATTCCGTTCTGTCCTGTGCAATCATTTGGATATCATAGGTGTAATCCAGTCCGGCATTTTTCAGTTCTCTCATCAGTTTTCAACTTGGGGCTTCTCTTGGACATTTCTTGTTTTCTCATTCCCTCTGATTACCGTTTGCTGCCTGTTATGTTGAGAAGCTCGCTGTCCTACAATAAACGCGTGGCAAAATCAAAGGAGCTGAAACCAAGGAGGAAATATCAGAAATCAAAGGCCAAGAAGAACAACGTTGACAACAGGATAGGTAATGAGCGGTCTGACTTGGAGGAAAGAAGCTTCAAGCCCTGAGACAGTGCAAATACCAGAACTTTAGCCACGAAAGTGGTGCAAATATATAAGACCACAAATATAGCCAGAGACTGTTGGCAGCTTCGGCTAGCTAGCAGCAGGTTGAATGTGGTTGAGTATTTGATTTTATTCTCAAAATGAATTGGAATGGGAAATTTTGCCTCTTCTGTTGTTATTCTCTGTTCATCTCTTCTCATTATAGCACCAGCTTCTCTGTATTCTTAACACATGCAGGTCTTGCTAGTCAAACTTTCCATCCCTATGGACCCTGAGTCCCATGCCTCCTCTTAGCGCAGTATAATACTTTTGTCTGGAAAGACGGTGAGGTGCCAGTCAAATGGAAATCTCTGTATTATAACTGTTGATACTAGTGGTTGCTCAAACATTTCTCTTATTTCTTCACTCCTCTTGAATCTTCCCATTTTGTGTTCATTGTGTTCCTCATGTATTCATCTTGCAAAGTAGTTATCACTGGTAACAATGTGATCATCTGTTATTATTTTGCTGTGATTACTCATTCATAAGACGTTAGATGATGGAATTGATTGAACTTGTTGGCAGACGTGCCACCCATAATTGTTCTTTTCCTGTCCCAGTTAAACCACACACAATACCTGTCACTGTCCTTTGAATCAGACTTCAGTCCCAGCAAAGCCACACACATTGCCTGTCACTGTCCTTTAAAACAGACTTCAGTCCCAGCAAAGCCAACAGAATACACATGCAGTAAATGCATAAGGTAGTGATCAGAAGTGCCAACACAAATTGTCTTCCCCTAGCATTGCAGTCAATCGATCACCTGCCTGTTCACCATATTGGATCGAAAGCCAGTTTCAGAAGAGATCTGGGTAATTTGTTTTCCACAGCACTGGGTATGCTGGAATCACATAAAGGACATTCCAGTAATTTGTTGTTGTTGTTGTTTTTAACCCAGCCTGGTTGCAAGGAAATTTTATGAGAAGAAAAATGGCAGACATTATGTTGACTGCATCACCTGTTGAGTTCTAACTGGTCTCTAAAGATCATGTGTTGGTTGAGCCAGTGACTTGAAAAGGATTTTGTAATTGTTGCCTTTTTTTTTTCTTCTAAATTTGTCAACACAGTCATTGCAATAATTGACAGATGACAGTCCAAGTATTCTAATAAAGAATATGTTATCACTTCGCAGGTACCTCTCCAAAAACGGTCCCAACCTTTTCAAGATCTCAAGCTATGAAATTGCAACTCCTGATTACCATAGGAAAGCCATTTAATGAACATGTTTCCAGAAGCTTTATTTCAAGGACATGTATGCATATTGCTTGGCTGCTGTTATTGTTTGCTTTTATTTGCTGTTGACAGCTTTGTTTATCACATTTCATGGATGGTTTATTTGTGTATCTGTGTTTGATAATCTGTGTATAAGCTGAATCATGAATGTCTGACATTGAGATTGTGTGTTTATTGTTAAGAGCTACTTAGCTGACCAGGAAGTGTAATGTAGCGCCATAATTTAGCTTGTTGGTTTGCTTCTGCATTTGCCCTTAAAAAGGCTATTTGCACTTTGTGTTGTGGTTTACTGCTGGGCTGCAATATTTGCGCCAAATGATCCAACACATTTGATTTCCGCAGATCACCTTTTATGACATGCTCGTTAAAGAGCCCCAAAAACCCACACCCAGATTCAATTGTCAATACTAACATGGTGTTGTTTTCTCACCAATATGGCTCTGAATGTGATCAAGCTGATACAATCACAGCACTGTGGAACCTTAGGATGAGAGTTGTTCAGAATGTGAGGTCAGGCTCACCAATTTTTTCAGAATATGAGGTAAAGTCTGCTGTGCAAGCTGGAGAGGGGAGAACTCTCCTAGACATTACCTGACAGCATGTCAGTAACTTCTCAATGGATTAGGTCGTATTACATTGCCGAAGGAGGACTTGGGTAATGCGTAAACTCCAGATTCATTTCCTGCACAGCCTGCTGAAGATGGGGGGGGCAGTTATATGTATATTCAGAGTGCTTTGACATCAGTTCCTAATTCAACTAAGCTCTAGTAGTTTCATAATGGTGCAAAATTTGGAGTTAACCTGAAGTATTTCCGGATCCACACCGGTGCAATGTGCTGAGATTCTTATGGCTAAGACTTGAGTTATAAGTAGAATGAAGCACTTATGGGTTACCACCCATGTGCCGTGACGTTAATCCGCTGTTCTGTTCAAATCAAATCAAATCTGAGCTCTAGTTTCATTGTCTGATTGTTCTCGCCTCTTTTTCTTGCATTTCACAATTTTTAAAAAATGTATCTCATACCTCCTAGTTTTATGGTGAGAAGCGGAGGAAGACAGTGTGAGAAGATTCTTGATAGCCTTTTGTCATGATACGAAAAGTTTGTCCACATGCTGGAAGATACTACTGTTGGAGATCGCAAATTGTGGAAAGTTATCATCGGCTGTGCCAGTCGACAAGGCAGATGTTGATGATGAGGATAGACCAGCATCGTGGTCAGAAGTCACCATGTCATCTGCTGCCGGCAGAAACAAAAAGCAGTACCACACATTTTCACCATTAACAAAATTGCAGACATTTAGTTTTATATCTACAACATCTGATACAAATATGGTGTTTTTGGAGAGGTGGAACAGATTAAAATTATTGACTATTGATTACTTTAATAATAGAACAAATTTGAAATTCTGGGATTTTATGCTTGAAGAAGATTCTATAAATACAAGTTAAATGTCAAAGGTATTGTAAATTCACTCACATCATCTTAAATAATTCATTGTCATTTGATAAGTGACATAAATTGTAAAGTAGATATGCATTGCCTCTATGTGTGTGGTCACGTATTAATGGTCACATATTTCTCATGTGTGTACTTACTTATAAATTCCTATGCCCTCAGGTGTGATTTTAGCAACTAATTTTGTGTGGCACTCTGTTTCTTTTTAAAAAATTTGTTTTCCACTTGCTAAATTAGAAGTGGTGGAAAATTTCGAATATCTTGGGTCACTGGTTACCAATAATGGTGACACAATGAAAGAAATTAAACGGCGACTATCAATTGCTCTTCAAAGACTAAAACAACTGAATAAATTATGGAATTGTACAGATAGAATTACAAAGGTCAGATTTTTAAGAGCATGCATCTTTTCCATTGCAACAATACGCCTGTGAGACCTGTTCACTTTTTTAAAAGCGGAACAGCGCACATGCTAAATTAGATCACTAATTACCCCTGATCAGAGAAATCAGACTTGGGATGTGGCAGATGATCTGTGGGTTTTTTGGGATAGGAAGGTTTTTCCGGAGGGTTGTGAAAAGGGATGCTACTGGAATGAATGAAATTAGATCACTAGTAGATTTGGGACTGTGTTTTTTGGATGTGAAAAAGGATTGGACTCAAGGATCTAATCGCTACTGGCAAGACTGATGGAAGGAGAGAGCAAAAGGTAGGCAAAGATATAAATACCTGGATGACTGAACCATATGGACGATGGCAAGACAAGAATGCAGACCTCATCTGTAGTTGTCCAAATTGTCAAACGTATGGGATGGCGAAGCATTGTGACATGACAGCTTTTGCTTATCTGCAGGACACATGATGATGAATTACCTCTAGTTCTTTTTGTTTTTTCAAGTAAGTTTTCTGTGGCAGGTAATGGAAGATTTCATCCACGCTTGATGTGATGGTGTACCTCAAATACATGTAGATATATGGAATTGTTGAGCTAATAAATGTTTTTCAATTGTAAATGATCACTGCAGTAGTTGTAGGCATTTTTATTTTGCTGTTTCTGTGTGTTGTTTAGAATGTCTGGAATAACACAAAGTGCCAAACAATAGCCCTGGAAATGCATTCTAAATTACAATCACCAAAATTGCATTTAGGTGACTTTGGGCTAGAGTCAACAATGTGAGAGAAGTTTCCAGAAGCAGATGAACTCCATAAGCCGACTAGAGAAATGTGTATCTTTCAACATTTATTAAGCTTGTTATCAGGAGAAACAGCCTTGAAAACCTAATGACAGCTGGCATAATTCAATAATGACTACAATCAAATCAATCTTCACCAGTGTTGAATTAAAGCTCAACCCTTTCGCCCCGGTCGCACTATAAAAATGGGTCATGACACCATGGGAATAACCTTAAAACACAGGTTGAACAGAGTCAATTCCTGGGGGGGGGGGGGGGGGTTCTCAAAAACAAAAACATATTCTCTAAAAACAATTTTATGCAGTAAACTTATACATTTCTTTAAACTTTGTTTTTTTTTTATTTTAAATTTGTTTCAGAATATATAAAGGGAGTAATCAATAAACATGAATGGAGAGGAGCATTAATTAGAATACATTCCCTGAGGCATAAGAATTATGAGTATCATGTAACTTATGCTGTGACCACTATCACTAAGACTTAACAGGTACATTTAATGCCAACTTTGCATTTAGATAAACCATTTGGTTAGAGGGAACCCGCCCAATTGAACAACTTTAGGCATAACATTTATTGGTTGAAGTAGTAACTGCTTCAGATAGAATTTGTCATGTAACAACTATCTCGGACTGAAAGAGTTTAACAACGACAGTGATAGAACAAAGTTTACACAATGGCTCTTCAGAAAGCAAACTGACGGTGACCACACTTAAAGTTCCAGTAATGACAACTAGCCCAAGCTAGTCAAAACCAAGCCCAAGCTTCGTCAATGACTGGTCACAGCAATATTTAACAATGACAATGATGAACCAAGATTACACAATGTCTCTTCTGAAATTACAGTGTCTTTTCTGAAAAGCAAACTTCAAGGAGTACACTAAACTCCTTCAATCCCACAAAGTCCTAGCTAATGCAAGAGAAAAAGGTCCTTATTTTACTTTTTCACATCGAATACCATCAAACTAATACTGACCTTAAATACAGATTTCAGTGAAGACATTTACATGTAAACAAAGGAGTACAGTGAGACTGAGGTCGGTGTTCCAAAGTTTGAGTAGTTCAAAAGGCAAGAGGAGCTTTCAGAGCACTAAGGAATTTGTGGAGTTCAAAAGAAATTAAAACTCAATACGAAACTTCAAATTTCTAATTCTAATCAGTAATGTTGTATGAAGCGGAAACATGGAGAACTACTAAGGCAATTACTAATAAACTACAAATATTCATTACAGGTGCCTGTGCAGCATAGAGGGAATTAAATGGTATGATAGAATCACTAATATAGAGCTGTGGGAGAGAAATAACATGTTCCAGTCGACAAAGAGGTGAAGGAAAGAGGCTCGTGTTGGATAGGTAGCACGCTTAGAAAACCTGAGAACATTATAACAAGAATGTCTAACGTGAGTTAGTTGAGGACCTATGCTCCACTGGGGGTTAGAAAGGCAGAAGAAGAAGAGTGGATGAGTTGAACTGAGCTGAGTTAAGACTCGACATCATAGAACTCTGTACATTCCTATGTGCACTCTGTTCTCTTCTTCATCAGCCAGCAAAGAGTTTCAACACCACTGGTACCAGTTTGATTATATGTCCTTGCCGTTCCTCTGAATGTAGTGTTGGTCGGATAACCTGCACCATTCTATTCACATTGTAATGATCTATTTGCTTTTCCACAGTGTTCCTTTTTTCCAAAGGCCTTGACTGGTCTAGCTAGTTCTGCAGCATCAGCTCACCACCTGGTAGACCTGAGCAGCACCAGCCAATCTGCATGTTCATTTCCCAACACCTTTAAAATCCACCTGACCTCTGAAGTGATGCTTGCCATTCTGCATGAAGCAGTGTTCATAATTTATCACCTCAGCTAGTTACTGAAAATACTAAACATCCGTTGCAGCCAAGTTTTATTATTCATACAATAGTATTGACTAGTTTTTAAACGAAATCCTATTTTCTGGATTACAAGCAAAACAGTGAATTACATACATGACAGAAAGATGATTCCCCACATGTGATGCATTCCAGTGGGGATATGAAGACATAAATGACCAAGGAAACCTTGAAAGATCATCAAAAGTTGAAGTTTTTGTTGTATGGAGATGCCTGCTGAAGGACCTGTTATTTTAGGTTTTTTTGTGTGTTTTTTTTTCCAGCATTTTAAGTCACTGAGGTTCAAAGCTGCAGACTTCACCTGGCTCCATTCATCTCTGTGATTTGCCTTCACTTTCCAGTTGGTGATTCCAAGTATTTACAAGTCTACTTCTATATCATCTCTACACCTTCTTGGTTTGCCTGGTGATCTGCTCCAGGTCAGCTCTGCTGCATGCTGCTGTGCCTCTGTGA